TTGCGCAGAAACCGGCTATCTTACGATCGAATCCGTGCCTGCAAAGGCGAACGAACGACTACTCACTGTGCAGCTATTTAATCAAACGACGATTTATCGATTCTTGGCCACCCTTTTGCGAAGGAACCGCGAGTAGGCTGTTCTATTAAGCTAGACGATTACGTTGATAGCGGGAATTCTGGTGCACTGTGTAGTTCGATCGAGTGAAACGACGAGGGAGACATTTAATATGATAAAAATGGAAGAATTCGAGGGGAAGATGTATTATTGGAAGCTTTGGGGGAGTTGTGATGATTAGGTTTGGTCCATTTCTTTGGAAACTACGTTGCAATAATTAAATGAAAATTTATAAACAAAAAATAATCAAAATTCTTCACCGTAGATCCTTCAAATTGATAACAAAAAAAAAAATTGAAATTTAGAAATATCAAATCTGAATTTAATTAGATCCAGTATTAATGTAATTAATTTGAAAAGGATTTAATATCAATTTGAAGGGCTTAGGACGAAGGACTTTTGAGGTTTTGATTTTGTTTTAAATTAAATTTTAAAAATATAAAAATATTAAATCTTAATTTGATTAGATCCAGTATTAATGTAATTAATTTGAAAAGGATTTAATATCAATTTGAAGGGTTCAGAATGAAGGACTTTTCGGGGCTTTACGAACGATCTTCGGTGCTTCTGGTTAAGGTTAACAGTTTGAATTCGACGGTGGAAGTTATACGATACTGCAAGATAATCACGCTAATTGCTCGTCGACAGAATGGTTTGTGGCACGTTCATGATGTTTGATCGTTGAACACACGGTTTTATTCGTACGCTGCAATCAACCGATAATTAAACTTCCTGCGGAGGCTGAGCGATCTGTGACTACGTACTGAAACTACGAGGTTACTTTCCTTAATTGAACACATCGATTGACACTGTGCAAGATTTATCGTTGGAAAAATGAATTCCTCTAGAAATACCATTTTACTCGCTCGATTTATTATTGCTTCTAAAATCAAGATCAAGTTCGTGTTTCGAAATAAAGAAAACCTACTTCCGTGAACCCTTTCGCAAATACGAGAAATATTGAAATACAATTAAAACCACCGCGGTGAAAAGCGAAAGATTGAAAAGTTTATAAATTTTTGGTATTTTTAAATAGGATAAATCCTTAATGCTGCAAATTTATTAAAATTCACGCATATCGGGTATTTTCTAACGCGATTAAATCTGCCATAAAAATGCTACAAATTCGACAAAATTTATTTACAAGAATTCAAACGAAAAACCAAAGAAATTTCGTAGCGATAATAAAAGTGCTTACTTTTTTCCCCCAAAAATTTCGAAGTACGTTTGAAATTATTCACCAAAAATTTCATTCTAAAAATTCAACACGAACTTCTGTCATTACCAATACATTTATCCTGACATCGTGATACAGGTATCTCAAAGACGATTTCATCGACCACAACAAACTGAAACAAGCTGGCAATTCATGTCGAAAGTTCAACGACCCCTTAACTACCATCCGACGAAATTACGCCACGAAACATTGAACACTGGCACCGAAAAAGGAAGAGCACGTCCACGAGAGAACGATCCACTTTTCTAGAGCAAGGCTTCGCCAATGATGATCTTGTAGGCGACTCTTTACGTGGATGCGTCCGTCCCACACACCGCGAACGCGCGCGACAATCGACGTCGTGACACACGAGGAAGTGTCCACTAACGAGTGCACTTCGTCGACGACCTAAATCGTCGAGGCGAACGCGCATCACGCGTTTGAATTCCGGTGTTTGATCGAGAGTGAGAGAGAGATCGGACCGTGCCCGAGCAAAAACTACGCACAGCTCTTGAATGTACTCCTCGGGTTGGCTCGTTAACGAGAAACTGCATCGTCTATTCAACCTCGAAAATCAATGCAACTATTTCGTTCTTTTCAGAGATTTGTGAGTTTCAGTGGAAACTCGAGATTTCGACGTTGAATAGTGTGTGTGTAGGGGGGTAAATTAACGAAGACGCTGAAGATTTAATTTTGTGTCTCCTTGGAGGAATTATTATGGTAATCTGAAATAGTGCAATTTAACCCTTTGATTCTTGAGGATTTTTCGACAGGATAGACCGGCAATTTTAGGACACTTTTGAAAACCAAAATTATTTTTGACAAAAAAAAATTCTAAATTTTCGTAATTTATTTATTACGACTGTAGAATATTTTTATTCTTGACGAAGTAATCTTAGTCTTTAGTGTATCTCTATTAGTTATCTCCTTACGTTCAAGTCGTAAGTTTCAGTCAAAGAGAAAACTAACTATAATTAATAGGAAAAATTATGAAATTTATTACTCAAATTTTTCTCCGAATTCTAATGTGTTAGAAATTAAACAGAGACTACCAAAACTATAAAAAAATCCAGAAATATGTACCTACAAAATAAAAAACTTATCGAGAACCAGCAAACAATCCAAGAAACTTCTGTAAACCAAAACAGCCTAAGTCTCGAAACAACGTCTCGAGAAATATAACAGCCCTACCATAGTTATACCAACCAAAATCGATATAGCCACCGAATTAGCAGTTTTCTGCTCGAGTAAACCAATTAAGAGGAAAACCGATCCAATTAAAAGGGAGGCGATATCAACAAAAGAGTGCTCGCGAACAACCAGCAGCCAGTAGTCTAGACTCTAGACTCTCCCCGATATTTCTCCCCCGAGGCGTCTGATACTATGTGCGTGTATAGCCCAATCCCGATCCTACGAATATATTGAGTCATAATAGAAGAGAAGACCGAGGGATGATCATTTAGCTGTCTTGCAACACACAACTCTATCACCATGGATCACACACAACAGACGTGACGTTAGGTGACGACTGTAGGGTGTGTGTGTGTGTGTGTGGAGGGGGTAGTTTAGGAGGGTGGGTGTGGATTAAAGCGTCGACAAGAAACGACAGTGGGTCGTGTCGGTGTCGGTCGTTGGGTCGGCGAAACCAGAGGATGAATGGGTCTGGCCCTGGGGTGGTTCACCAGCTGACTGGGGTTGTCGTCATGGCAACGAACCAACCCGGGAGCAACGCCCCACCCCTACAAAATTCATACGTATAGTTCTTCTTCTCTAACCCCCGCGACCGCTATAAGCGTCATTTCGCTTTCTCCGTCTCTGTCTGATTGCCCCTGCAACTTGCACTCCTCCCTTTCTCACTCTCTCTCTATTTCTCTTCCTCTCCCCCTATTTCTTTCTCTTTTCCTCTATATTTCTTTTTCTCTCTCTCTCTCTCTCGCACTTCCTCTCTAGTTCGTGGCTCTCTATTACACTCGGTTTCTCTACTTTTAATTCCCTTTCCTGCTGCACCAGGCTTCCGGTATAGCGACTAGAGATGAGCATCCGATGTATTCTTTTATTTTTATACCGAGGATGTTTTTGCGGAGGAGTGGAAGAGCGAAAAGGTGGCCCCCCACTTTGGTTATTGAAAATTTAGAGATTTCGAGGGGCTAAGAATTTGACGAACTTTTTAAGAGATTCGGTAGATTAAGGGAATTTAAGATTTCTTTCTACGACTGTCTTAAGGGATGTTTCCCTTTGAAGAATGCTGAGTTGAGAAATAATTTTCACGGAGATTATGAATTTTTCACTATTTCTGAAAATTTTAGAAGAGATGTGACGTTGCTCTTTGAAGAATATTCAGTTGAGAAATAATTTTCACGAAGATTGTTTACATTCGATATTGCTCTCGAATGAAATTTTAGAAAATTCAATTCTTCTCGGTTGCAATTATGAATTTTCGACTATTTCGGATTCTACGTTGCTTTTTAACGAAATTTCGGTTGCAATTGAAAAAAAAAAATACTATTAAGATTCTGACCTTGTTCTAATCGGACACTGAAAGTCTTCAGCAACTTTGTAGCGAATTATTTGCATACAAAGTAAGTTGAAATGTCTCGAACTCATCGTTGGCAGCATTGCAAGAAAAGAGGAGGCATAAAATGAACTCGCGGCTAGACTATTCAGAAGAATGCGTGTAGAATTCTAACTCGAGGGCATACTAACGGCGAATTACGAAATGAACGGACGTCCGTTCACTGCTTTTTGCGAAGCTTCTTCACGAATAGAGCAAGACGGTTCACACGTGCTCAGGCATCTTTATGAGACTACAAATCCCATATGGAGGATTTTCTAACCGCGCTTCAATCGATCTCTATTTTAACAGCTGACCTAACGCGACGTATGCCAGACATCGTATGTAACACATGTTTCAATTCAGAAAATTTCAGAATAAATAGAAAAACACGTATAAAAAAGAAACATATGATAAAGATACTAAATGAATTGAAACTGTTTCTCTAAAAGAATCAATGTAATACACAATTGATAAAGGAAAAAACAAAGAAAATGAGGGAGAGATCAAGGAATATGAGGTACATAGTATTATCGAAATGTTTAAACCTCTTCAGGGACACCGACACATATGTGTACCTTTAGATATTCCGAAAATTCCAATATTTGCGACAGGGAAAATATGAAAAACACAATCTCCCGAAATCTCGAAGAATCTCCTAAGGAAAGTAGTTTAACGCCTTTGACTTACAACGTGTCAGACTCGTGGCAGAGATTCTGGTGAAGACGTGACCAAAATAGTTATATTAATGAGAAAAATTCATTGTAATCCTAACTTTCGTTTGAATTTGTAAGATCAAGGATTCCTAAATGTAATTAATATGTAACAGCTTCTGTAACCTGATACAGTACTAAAATAGAAAATGGCCGACGCTTATATGCGTTGTCAGAAAAGAAATCATAGGTTAAGGGGTTAATTGCGATCGATTTAACATGAATATAAACGTGTAATTGCATAAAAAATTGGACCGATATTTTATAACTTTGAAAAAATCATCCCTGAAAAGAGGTTAAATTAAATTTAAAAATCGCGACTCACCCTCGAATTGTTCAAAACTAAACCGATTTCTCGCTGTAAGAGTTAATTATAATTAACTGAAGCTTGATCAAAGGATACATAAATCTGGTCCCTCCCATACCGGACTTGGAGGTTTCGATTGATTCCCGTTTCATCGATGTCACTGATGACTGTCATGTCCGGAACACCCAACTCAGGGCTTGAGCCTGAAACAAAGAAACAAAATTTCTTCCTCTATCACTGGATCTTCGACATATGTATATGTATACCAGATGGCGCACATTCAAAATCAACTCCAACCAAAAACAAAACGGTTTTACAATTTTATTGTAAATTTGAATTAACTTTAGTACGATAAATAAAAAAAAGCACTTCTAACTTAAAAAAAGCTTTCAATTTCAACAATTTTCACATTTATCAGCCAATTTTCTTTCCGTACGTGAATACAGCAAGTTTAAAATTATACTTCGAGTACGGTGGCCTGTTTTACCCGCGTCACACGCTACTTTTTATCTCTAAAAATAAAAAAAAAAAAGCTCGAATCGTAAACAGGATCTCGAGAGTGAAAATTTTATTCGCGTCGATATATTATATTAAAAACGCGTAGTTAGAAACTCAAGTGCCCTTCTGCCTCGGTCATTTAAGCTTTTTCAAGCTGCTGGTCACCGGAGCTCAGGCGAGCACTTAACATTGATCCCGTTCGTTTGGCAGGAACGCGATATGGAAACCTGGTAAATTCTCTGACCACCTGTTGTTCGTCCAGACAATACCCCGTACGTGACGATTCCTTGTCGCCGCGAGTGGTCAATTTCCAACTGGAAACCAAGCGTTAATAGGAAGTTGCTATAATATTGAATCAAACACCGAGAGGATCCAACGATAATCCTACCTAAATACGACACTTCCACTTTCGAATTTCGCAACGTAGGCGTGGATAAACTTCGCAGCGATCGGTTAATACCGTGCCATTACCCTTTCCAACATTTTCATCGTTTGTAACAAATAATACGAAAATATTGGTATATTTCTCATTCTCGTATATCGTTTTACTGAAATTTTATTTAAATTTGTTTCGCAATTTCTATTTGGAAATTTTCTACCGTCAATTTTCAATATTAATAAAATTTTCAGTATTAATTTCGTACAATTTCTAGCAATTAATTTTTCAACTATTTTCAGTTTTAAATATTTCAGATTTTTAATATTTTGCATTTCCTTTTTTTTTTTGTGTTCCTATCTAATACCACAAAACCACAATTTAATTTTGATGTCCCTATGTAATCCCATAAAAACCTCAATCAGAATATAATTCCAATTTTAAGCCATTCTTGCATAATGTTACTTTAACACAAAATCCTAATATTTCTAATAAAGCTACTGTGTACACATCTAAAAAAGTTTTATCTAAAAAAAACAAATAACGCTCCAAACTTCTGAGTCCTACTGTAGATATTCCTCAATATTCAGTCCTCCCTTCGATACAAATCGCACAAAATCAATAATTACATTCAACGCCGACAAATATCCGCGATATCGTTTGATCGTACCACTTAAAGAAATCTCAATTTAAAAGATAAGTGAGGCAAATTAAAGCGTGAAAGCATCACGCTCGTATGCCAGGCGTATATACATATTTCCCCCGGCATAACTCTCGAGGAATTCAATGGAATCAGTGTTACGAGGTTTCAAGGAAAGATTGCAGCTGCTTTGATCGCAATCTCGATTTAATTAGCGGCCGCGTTACCCTCGCGAACGAGTCGGGTGTGTGATCGAACCGTACACGCGGCGCCTACCCCAAACACGCGGTGGACTCTGATGTAACTGTTGCGGTTTGCCTCTTTCTTTTTCTCGCCGGTTCATTAACCACTCCTTTGTACATCGCCTACATCCGCGGCGTTTTTTTCTCTCTCTCTTTTTTTTTTGTCCCGTTGCGGTTTATCGGCGGGGAAACAACGCGGAGACGACGGTAGGAATTGAAGTCGACACCACGGTGCGTCGCAGCACTATCTCTCTGTCTCTCTCGCCGAACATGCCGCGTGCTTCAGCGAAATTGCATTCTCAGCGGCGGCG